TGTGAATGAGGATCGCCGTGGAGAGGTCCCAGAAACCGCGTTCAGACAATAGGCCATATATATAGCCTGCCTATATTGCGGTCCCTGGAAAATGCCAGGGTGGGGCTTCATATAACAAAAAATTCGCCCTAAAAAGGACAAAACACCTATTGCTAGGTAAGTGTAGCTGAAACTAAGATTACCAGATTGCCTAAGCCCCCAAGCTGAAACTAATATTACCAGATTGTCTAAGCCCCAACGCTGAAACTAATATTACCAGATTGCCTAAGCCTCCAGGCTGAAACTAAAATTACCAGATTGCCCAAGCCCCCAAGCTGAAACTAAGATTACCAGATTGTCTAAACCCCCAAGCTTTTTTTTGGTGTGTGTGTGTGTTTTGTATGTTGCGAGTATTTTTGTAAGTCTGTTTTTACATTCGTTGCCGTTTGTGCGTGTTATTGTGGTGTTGTTTGTGAGTGCATTCAAATTTTATTTCAAAATACAAAAAGGAAATGGAAAAGTAACAAAACAAAGAGAGAAAGGAAAAAGTGCTGGGGCGGGGGAAATAAAGAAAAGAGGGACTCCATTCATTTAATTTAAACGACCAGCTTCTCCTGGGTCCTTTTGATGGGAACCTTCTCCGCGAGGGTGGCGTGTCCGCTTACGAGGCGTAATTCCGCGTCGCTAGCTGTTGCTAGGGGCCACTGACACCCTCTGCACTTGAGATACCATTTTGCATGTGATGATGTCCCTGTTTTCGTGTAACAGCCGCTGCACTGAATCTCCCAGTAGCAAGGGTTGTTGTCCTCAGTTTCTCCAGTTCTGGCTTCTCTTGTCTTCTTTTTCGGGGTGCTTTCACTTCTTGGTTTGTCTTGTCCGATTTTAGGCACTGTCGGTGATGTGTCGTTTGAACTGGTTGGCCGGTTCCTTTTTTTGTTCTTTTTCTTCTTGTTTGCAGTGGTCTTTTGAACTCCTGTACCTTCTTCTTCTGCAGATGACTGTGCGTCCTCGGAAGAAGTCTCTTCCTTCTGCGGCTCATCTTCTGCTTCTTTGGAGGACTCTATGAGGAGTGGAAAACCCTCCTCTTGTGGGATTTTCTTTGCTGGTGCTGGCTCGGGTCGTCTCCTTCTTGTGGTGCATTTGTTCACCCAGTGGTCATTGTGCCCGCAGTGTGGGCAATTCGTCCTTCTGCCTGGCACAGTGACCCAGAGCTGGTGCCTGCCGCCGGGGAGCGCCGGATTCCTCATGTTGACATAATGAGGGATCGGTTTTGTCTCCCTCACCGAGGCATACCATCTGTCAATGCCGTGCTTCGTTTGGTAGATTTCGGGATCTTCGTCTCCCGTGATTCCAGCAATGATTTTTGTTTCACGGTCTGTTCCGTGGCTGTTACTGGCATCCAATGGATGCAGATTTTTGTTCTGACTTTGTCTAGATGTTCTAGAAGAACATCTACACCTTCTACTGTTTTCCGCACATTGTGCAGGAGATCGAAGTGTGTCCTGTGAGCTGCTTCCGTGAGGGTAAAGTACCACTCGGTGGTCCTAGAGTAGCGGTACAGCGCGCTATTCCGTGGATAGGCACTCCGACTGGGCCTATCAGGACGCTGGTCAGCCAGGCGGTCGCCGCCCTGGAGGCTGCATCGGCACCGGACAAAGACACAATGATTGTATTACCTGTCCGGTGTATCCTTCCTCCAGGGAACGCGTCCGTTGGCACGTCCAGGTCCAGGTTGGTGACGGCTGCTGCAGGCTGCATCTCAGGTGGCTGTGGTGGAGGTTTGCTTCTCAGGTGTCCGGGGCTTGCTGTCAGGGGTTCGTGTCATGACGGAACCGTACATTTTTTTCCCTTCAAAAATGACCTTTGCTTCCAGGTTGACCCAGCCTTGATTATCAGATGGTCTAAGCCCCTAAGCTTGAACTGAATTTCTACCCCACCAGGACATCACACAAGCGATAAACACCCGATGACACAAAGTGCCACTATGTGGATGAGGATCGCCGTGGAGAGGTCCCAGAAACCGCGTTCAGACATTTGGCCATATATATGGCCTGCCTATATTGCGGCCCCCGGCAAAAGCCAGAGCAGGGCTTCAAATGACAAAAAATTTCGTCCTAAAAAGGACGAAATTCTATTAGCTTAAATTAGGCTTGGCTTGGCTTTTTTACCCCACCAGGACATCACACAAGCGATAAACACCCGATGACACAAAGTGCCACCATGCGGATGAGGATCACCGTGGAGAGGTCCCAGAAACCGCGTTCAGACATTTGGCCATAATGATGACCTGCCTATATTGCGGCCCCTGGCAAAAGCCAGAGTGGGGCTTCAAATATCAAAAAATAACGTCCTAAGAAGGACGTAAAGAGTGAGCTTAAATTATGATTACCAGATTGCCTAAGCTCCAAAGCTCCGGCGCCCATATTCTGGCTTTATTGTGGAATGTTGAGCACACTCACCGACAGATTAAAAGAGACAAAACAAAAGCCGAGGTGGGGGTGGTGGGGTGTGGGTGTGTGTGTGCATGCGCGAGCCCGAGTGAGTGCGTACGCGCGCGCGCGCGTGTGTGTGTGTGTGTGTGTGTTCCTTGTTCTAGGAAACGCAATTTATTGTAAGTTAGCAACACTGCAAATGCTTATCAAGGGGACATAATCCATTATTTGTGTCATTTCACATAATAATTCTCTTCAATATTTAATTTTGTTTAGAGTTAGGGTTAGAGTTGGACTAATCCTAACACTAACCATTACCCCAACCTGAAGGAATATTAAAAATTACATTACATTAAAATATATATGAAAGTAAACAAACAATAGATTGTGTCCCTTACAATCGCCTTAAAAACATTAGATTGCATCCCTTCTGATAGCTGTTTGAAATATTGCTCCCCACGGTTATCCCCATCCGCGTGGCAGCACTTTGTGTCACCGGGTGTCTATCGTTTGTGTGATGTCCTGGTGGGGTACAACTACCTGCCTACCTACATACCTACTTACCCTTCTTAGTTTATGATGTTTTGGAAGAAGTTAGCTCAAGAGCAGAGTTGGCTATTGACATCAGAAGTTCGTAGTTGCTGTAATACGTAAGCTCGCAGAAATGAAAACTGGGCAGAGTTTAGCGACGTATTATTGTTGGTGCTTTCTGGTTTTCGCTGCAGCAGCAATCTCGGCCTTTTGGCTAAGATCACAGTGTAGCTCTGCTGCACTTGGTCTGGCCAGAAGCGCCGGGATCGGTCCCAAGCTCATGGGAGTCACTATTCACGGCATGAGCCTAACAATCTCAGAGCCGGGCGGTTTCTCCGTGAGGGGGGATTGACCCGGCGAAAAAAAAATTTTTCGTCTCATGCTGCTGTATGAGGGGAAAAAACCAACAGCAACGCCGAGGGACTATAAACGTCGTGGGATGCAATTTGTGGTTATTTTGAAGCTCCACCCTGGCTGCTGCCGGGGGCCCTAAAATAATATCTCTGTTGAACGGGGTTTCTTAGACCTCACCACGGGTGATCCTCATCCAAATGTTGGCACTTAAGTCACCATGTGTTAATCGCCCTGTGTATTGTCCCGGTGGGGTAAAACTTACTTAACGCCGAGGGAAGAAAGTAGAGGTGATTATGTTTAAACAACGGATCAACATCATGGCACAAGGGTAGTAATTCATAAGTGGTCCGTTCTACTTCTAACTAAGTCTAAGTCTGAAGCCCTCAGCGCTGTGCACTAACCCCGTAGCATCGACAAGGATCCTGAAATACTTTAGCTAGATTTTTAACAATACACACATGCGTCCGATCTTACTACCCAGAGAGAGACCTGGGGAATTTACAGGAAATCCATATGAAAAAATCCCAGCCTTTACCAGGGCTTGAACTCGAGATCCTCAGCACTTGGGCGGACTCCATGCCTAGAGACCACGCAGCCCCCTCAGAGGAGATGTTCGTACCCAGCTTGTCTTTAAAACATAAAACGCGAACGAAGTATCAAGTTATCTTTAACACCTAAGGCAGGAAAAACAGGTTCTAACACAGCAGTAACAATTTGTAACACAAGATTACTAACTGTTAAGCTGAGTAAACCATTGGATTAATATAAAAAACCTCCACTTTATGTACATGTCGTCGTGGCCGAGTGGTTAAGGCGATAGACTAGAAATCTATTGGGATCTTCCCGCGCAGGTTCGAATCCTGCCGACGACGATACAATTTTTTTTTAAATTTAAATAATAAATGTATGCTTATCGTCCATTTCCATTTCATGTGATTAATGATTAGTGCGGTTATCATCACCGGACATATATATATATGCTCCGATTACCTCCTCAGTAGCTCCACAAAAGAGTAAAATGTCTGATCACGCCCGTTCTCTGTTGATTAACCAGACGCGTTATGCCCTTGGTGAAATGTCCAAGTGCGGTTACTCCGGTTGCCCCGTCCTATGTCCGCCAACCTGGACAAGGATACTGAGCGCCGATGCCACGTGTTCTATACTACAAGACACCAGAACATTCAGAACTGGCCCTAACCCAAACACCCTACCCACAGCCTGGGCATAGGTCACACGAGAGACTCTTTTCGAGGAAAGCAGTACAACCTGACACTCCTCTGACCTAGATCAGACTGCGAAAGTGTGTAGATGGGCCGGAAAACGTGAAAAGGACCCATTAGCGTCTGGAAGGCCAGAAAGGTTGCAAATATTCGTATATGTCTGAATATTCTCATACAAAATCTGTGTTTCTCGATTGCGTGACATGGGAGCAAAGCATGGTGAAGCACGTCAATGCTACTTCTGATTCCGAGATAGGAGAAATTATAACCAGCTCCTCTTGGGAACATTCAGTAAGGTGGTACATTGTAGTAGTTGTTGCACCACAGGACGCAGGGAAATACCTAATGTGCGTTGACGTCGATTGTGATAACATGACATTTGCTTCACCATTTCTTGGCATTTCTATTTGTTTTTGTATGCTTTCACATATCTGGCATTTTTTAAAACTTTTAATTTGCTCTTTATTCTATTCCCGCAGAAATAATGGCCAACAGCAAAATAACATTGAACTACTTCGACATCAAGGGAAGGGCTGAGATCATTCGTCTGGTTCTAACATGGGCGGGTAAAGATTTCGTGGACAACCGAATCAGTCGAGAAGATTGGCCAGCACTGAAGCCAAAATCTCCGTTTGGGCAACTTCCATACGTGGAGATAGATGGCAAGGTATATGGCCAAAGTTTGGCCATATCTAATTTTTTTGCCAGGGAATTTAACCTGTATGGGAAATCAAACCTGGACGGTTTGATAATTGACCAGGTTGCACAGCTGACTGAAGATTTTATTCAGGAGATTGTCAAAGTTATTCGGGCAGCAGATCCAGAAACTAAGGCAGCAAATCAGAAGAAAGTACAAGAAGAAGCTGCGCCGAAATTTTGGGGCTTTTATGAGAAGTTACTGAAGGAGAGCAGTGGTCAGTATTTTGTAGGCGATGAGGTGACCCTTGCTGATTTGATTGCCTTTGACGTCGTTACTGGATTTGTTAGCGATTTCACACTCCCACTGCCCGACAGCTATCCCCTGCTCACAGCACTGGTTGAAACAATTGGCAACAATGACAACATCAAAGCTTACAAAGCCAAACAGCAGTGAAGTTTTATTTCGGCCATATAGAATATTTTAGTACATGACTTGTTCAGATCATGATTTTTCTCAAAAGTTTTAAGTTCAGCTTAAGGTTGTGTCTCAGATGTTCAAGTTAACATGGGCAGTATATTAAATAGTTTATAGAAGTCACATATGAGCGTATTTTCTCTTCTATTTCAAAGTTTGTTGTGTCATTTCTTTCATCATCTAATCTGAATGAATTCATAGACTGAAATAAAACACACAGTTCCCCTTAAAACTGTTGGTGATTTCTGTTTTAGCATACGGTATGAATTAAAACTAAATATTATGGGTTGATTTAAAGTGAATAAGCTACATTAACAAATGTGAATTTAGGATACATGGTGCGAACTGAATTGCATAATGTTAAATTGAGTTAAGGGATATGAAGAGACTCTAAAGTAATCTTCTTCACTTCGTTCACCGGCTGTGAATTTCGGCCGAAGGTCCTGGTAGTTCGTCCATTTGGACTTTGGCTTTTATCTGGACCTGATGATTGCGTGTACATTCGTTTCACTGGCTTATTTGCTTGCCGTTCCCTGTCTTACAGGAAGATGTACTCCGACTTCGAGAAAAGACGTTAAGCCTATCTCTAGGATGACTGTGGTCATTGTATGTCATGAATTTGATGGTATGATAGGGTTGTTAGATTTTGTATAACAAAAAAAAAAACAAAAAAAAAACCGAGTGACGTCCGTATGTGCGTCGTTCAACCCCACCAGGGCCTCACAACAAGCGACCAACACCCGGTGACACAAAGTGCCACCATTCGGATGAGGATCACCCGGGCACAAGTCCCAGAAACCCTTTCAACCATTCCGTTATAATAGAATCCCGGACTATAGCCGGGGTGGGGCTTTATAATAACGAAAGAAATTGCATCCTTTGCTGGCTGGGACGGGAATTAATGTGATCTAACCATAAACGGAGTGACTGCTCCATGTTGGTTTATAATAATGTGCTAATAATAATTTAATAGTAGGCTAAACAATATACATAATTAACATTCTGAACTTACACCATAATAACACAGTTTGGGTGAAAACAGAACCGGGGGATTCCAGGCAAAAATGGAGTACCTGGCAACCCTAGTTCATAGTATTAGGTGAATTAATTAGTATGAATTGAATTCAAATGGCTTGAGCGTGACCTCACCGGGGATATTCTGATAGGGCCCCAGCAAGAATAGAACCGGCGATGGTTCATGGTTTCCACTGGGGCAATTCCGAGGCCACGATGTAATAGGTCATATGTGAAATCAAATATTACAATAAAATCAAATGGGGTGTAACCGAACTGGAAGGCTAGAAACCCCGACTTGTGTAGGTTTGTACCTGGTGAAACAGATACGAGTCACTGATCCCGGAATGAGCGAATTCATTTGTCAATTCTTCAGTTATAAAGACAGCAAATGAAATGGTTTGCCCACTTGGAGAGAATGCAAATACCATACAAGGCATATACCAAAAGAGGAGAGGGGCTTAGAGCAAGAGGTAGACCAAGAACAAGATGGGAAGATAACATCATTGAAACTCTACAGCGCCACGATGTGTCTATGGTCGAAGCAGCCAGACGAGCACGAAGCAGGACCTTATATCTCCCCTCGACACTCAATGCGATAAAAGAGGAAGTAAAGAAGAAGAAGAAGAATCTATACTCAGTTATGTTCATCAATAAATTCGGGGAATTCCCACATGCGTTCTGACTCCTTATTCACTAGCCAGCGAGAAGATCCAAGTTGCAGCCGGATTTAAAAGGCCGCCTGTCTTGTTCCTTTTTTTTTTTAGCCGATCGCTGTCCAGATTCTCTGTCTACTCTTCGCGAAATCAGTGTCCCGAGGTATGTATGCTCTGTAAATAAACTTATCCGCCTCGTTTTCAATATAACGATCAGCAAATTCTTGTAACTCTCTCTTCTTCTGAGTCGACGAAAGTACCAATCTCTACGTGTCTCTGTGTGTGTGTGTGTGTGTGTGTGTGTGTGTGTATGTGTGTGTGTATGTGTGTGTGTGTGTGTGTGTGTTGTCCATCAAGATGATGATGACCACTCTTTTTCATCAAGTATGAGTATGAAGATGACTGAGGAGGCCGATGCCGGCCTGAACAGTTCTTGGACAGTGAGGACAGAGAATGACTGTTGTGCCAGGGAGGTGATCTCCTGCCTTTCTGTCCATCCGTTTCCTAATCAGTCTTGCTGTTCTGTTTGCTTCGCATGTAGCCGCGCCCTTGTGTAGAGTTGCACGCCATGCATTTCGGTTGAGAGACAGCCTCCCAGTTTGTGTCATTCATCCCAACAGCTTTGAGTTAAGACTTTAAGGTGTCCTTAAAGCGTTTCTTTTGCCCCCCCCCCCCCCCCCTCCCCCTTTGGAAACGTTTCCTATTTTGCAGCTCAACATAAAAGAACTTTGGGAGGTGGGTGGGGGAGCCTGTGATCTGGCATGCGTGCCACATGACCAGCCCAATGAATTTTATACTGCATCGGTAGAGTGTGGATGCTGGGCATGGCTGCTTCCTCAAGGACTACGGTATGAGGTATTTAGTCTTTCCATCTGATCTGTACGTAAGGATAGCCCAGTAACATTACAGAAGGCTGGCACGGTATTTGAACTTTAAGTCACACCAAACAAAGGGTTAGAGTTAGTGGGTGTCTCTGAGGCAGTCAGGGCTGACAAAAATCCCAACCCTAACCCCAACCCATAACACCCCTTCACTACTGGACTTTCCCGAGAACTCCTGTATGTCCTTTGTTTGGGGTGACTTAAAATTAAAGTACCGCTGGGACAGCAGTGGTTCCGTTATACAGCAACAGTGAACAAGCGGCACTCAGGACTCGACAATAAGCAGACAGGAACACAAGGCAAGCTCACAAATGGTAATAGGATGTTTCATGTTGTATCGTCCGTCTCCAGTCAACATTTGTTGTTTGAGCAGCCGAGAAAACAGCATTCAGTTCGACTATCAAACAGCAATAATAATCACTCACAAGACAGAATGTCCTGCACACACTCACACTTCTCAGACAATCACTAGCAAGTTCAGATTCCCGTTTAAATGTTCAGGCATCATTCTAGCAGCATCCATCTTGACGATTACAATGTGGCCAGATACTGATAACCGCTGTAGGCTGTTTAGGGTGATTCAGCATTCTATAATGCGTTTCCAAACTCATGCTGTCACACTTTAACAAATATCTGGAAAATTCCTGCACGGATCAGTGCTAATTTTTGTACTTCGCTTTGGATATCCGCCAGCATTATGATTCTATAATTTACAATTTCGCAGCTGCTGCTGTTTTCTTAAAGCGGCGAATTTCTGTGATCTTTGTTAGACTAATAATTTCTGTACCAATGGGGGAAAAACATGGTAACGTGTGGAGATTGTTTGGAAATCAGTTTACCCGTGCAGCGATGCGTGGTGATTATTTTGATAGCATATTCACTACTCAATGAAAAGTTCGCAACTCACGAGCGACTTAAGCTGGAGATGACCACGTGAGAGTGAAACGTCTATGATACTCGTGCAATTTGTTATTTTGAAGTTTCCTTTACTCGTTGTAAGAGATCTCTGATAAAACCCACACTGTAGGTACAAGCTGAAGGCAAGCGAACAAGAGGCAGGTAGTGATACAAGTGGGAGAATAATATTAAGATATCGATAAACATCAGTCACATAGAATGCATATCCAGGACGCAAGACTGTGTTGAAGATCTATTGCAGTCTAACCTTCATTGCGGAGCTGGCCCCTGATTGACTGATTGAATGATTGAATGATTGACTGAATCATCGAAAGCATTCTCCGTGTCTTCACAATTAGCTACTCTGGTTGTTCAAGATATTCACACAACAGAAACCAAATCCTCTACTTCATTTTAAAACAACAACTTCAGAAAAAGGAACAAATAAAACAAATGTCATGGCGCTAACCAACAACAGTAGTTGACTTTGTCCTACCTATTGCTATCTCTAGACATTTTTCATACAGTGGGATTAAGAAAAGTCTAGGATAAGCGACAAGTTCAGAAACTGAGTCTATGATGAACATGTTCAGGTTATTTTCAGTAAACACTTCCCACTTTACAAGATCAGGTTCAGTGTTCGATGTCTGAGGGATGTTTGTGGGAGTAGGGTCGCCATATTTAACAAAGTTCACCCACATCGTCTGAACAGACTCCCCTACAGCCCTATCGTCTGCTGAGGTGTAGTGGTAGCGGGAGTCGGGGTAAAACACAAACGGCAGTTCAGCGGTGTGAGCAACCCCTTGCCAGACCGGGCCCGGGGTTCCACTCATTTGATAATCAAATTGGTACAAGTAATGTTTTGTTCCGGTATTTGATTCCGTCACAAACTTGTTTGTTTCATAAAGAGTGCCTCCCATAAAATCGATGTCTACAATTACTCGCATAAGTATGTCTCTTAACATAATAGGATCGGTCTCATTTCCAATATAACTATCTGCGAAGTCTTGTAATACATCCTCTGAGTCAATGAAAGTACCTAATCTAACTCTGATATTGTCTTCAATTACTTCTCTCGTCACGCCGTAGTTTTCTGCGTCATCATACGGTGGAATCACATCTCCCGAGTTGGCACCTTGCAGTGTGTCCACTTTATTGTAGTTTCCACCTGTCAGTAGATTTGGTGGAAAGTCTGGAAGAAACCCGAAAGTGGTTTCAATCCGAGGGGTTATAATAGAGTCTTGAGTCGTATTGATCAGGTCTTTAACATCGACGTTCTGAAGACATTTCAGGATCTCCAGAGAGCTCGTTTGGTTGCATCCCAACGATGCCGCTGGACGTAAAGTCGAATCTCGGACTAACGATGCTGGACCTATTCCTTGCATTAGAGCCACCGCCGATGCTGATCCGCTTTCGCAGATGGCTCCTTGAAAAAGTCCTTTGGCTGTTGGAGAGACAATCAACAATGAAACACTAACTGAACCTGCACTTTCTCCACCAATAGTTACTTGACTTGGATCGCCTCCGAATGCTTGGATGTATTTCTGAACCCATCTTAACGCTAACACCTGATCTAACATCCCATAATTTCCAGGCATGGTGTCATCACCCGTAGAGAGAAAACCAAGAGCACCGAGCCTGTAGTTGATGGAGACGGCAACAACTCCTCGGGCAGCGAAAACCGCAACATCACCATCGTTGAAAGCTGAGCCAACGCGCAGTCCTCCACCATGAATCCAAACAAATACCGGAAGTGATGCATTGACATCCGGAGAGAACACGTTGAGATAAAGGCAGTCCTCTGACTGAGAGGAATTGGTGCTGTCGTAAGAGCTACTCTGTGGACAAATATGGCTCCTTGTAAGTGCTTCTTTCACACCCACCCAATCACCGGCTGGTACTGGGGGTTTGAATCTTCGATCCCCTGCAAAAACAAAACAAATAAAATATTTTGAGTCCATTTTTATTTGCAACATTAGAATAAACAATAATTTGTACACACAGTGTCTTCTTCTTCTTCTTCTTCTTCTTCTTCTTCTTCTTCTTCTTCTTCTTCTTCTTCTTCTTCTTCTTCTTCTTCTTTTTCTTCTTCTTTTTCTTTTTCTTGTTCTTGTTCTTTTTGTTTTTCTTGTTCTTCTTGTTCTTCTTGTTCTTCTTGTTCTTCTTCTTCTTCTTCTTCTTCTTCTTCTTCTTCTTCTTCTTCTTCTTCTTCTTCTTCTTCTTCTTCTTCTTCTTCTTCTTCTTCTTCTTCTTCTTCTCCTTCTTCTTCTTCTTCTTCGCTTTCACCTGCTGTACACGCCAACGGAAAGTGCTGGCTGTTCGTCCACTTCTGCACGTTAGTCTTGTTCCAGATCCTGAGTGTTGCGTACACATCCGTTTAACATATTTGGTTTGTTTGTATGCAGATCTTTGCTTCCTTCCCTCTCCAGCAAATACACTCTAACTTCAGAAGAAGCCCCGAATAAGTCGATTACTACGACTTGCTTGCTGGGGAGGCCGTGGGTATATTCTTGTTTTCTTCATAATTGGGTCCAGGAACTCATTTGGGCATGTTGGGAGTTAAATCCAGGTGTATTGGCAAGTTCGCCAGTTAATCATTATTTTCAATCAATCAATCAGGCACCGTCTCCACAATGGAAGCTGGCTGCACTACTGCCCCAGGATGCTGTTTATGCATCTCTTGATGTTGTACTCCCACCTGTGTCGTTGTCTACCTGCCTTCGAGTTTTCTCTGAACTAACCGATGTACCACAAAGACTCCAAGACTAAAATACCCCCTTTTTTGTTTGCTTCAGTGGAGCGAAGGTCATATGACGTCACACTCATATTTGTATTGATCAGTCGGCAAACGTTAGGCGATGAACCTAACGTCACACCGGTCGACTTTATTTCGCAGGTCTTTACCTGCCAACTATTATAGGCTGGATGGTTCATAAGGCAAGCGGAAAATTAATGACCAACACCAAACTTCGACGGAAAGAGACCGACCGACCGACCGACTGACCGATCGACTGACAGACAGCAAGTGTTAAAAAAAGACAACACATCACTCACGTGTTGGTGGAAGTGCATAAGGTATCCCGTAAAACTTGTAGACATGATCACCAGTTGTCGACCTGACATGGAATCCCTTCAGTTGCTGGTTGTCTTCCAGTGATACAATCACAGTGCTTCTTGTGTCATCCCTTCCTTGGCAAGAACAACAACCCAGTATGAAAAATGCTAAACATATTAAAGCTTGCATCGTCAATACCAAATCTTAACTACTATCTTTTCCCTGTTGGATATTGTATTACATTTTTTTTTTTTAATTTCTAGGTCTGGGAATGTGTGCATGTGTTGTTGCATTTTTTTTTTTTAAAGTTTCGCGCTGCTTCGTGGCTTAGAAGTTAATGAATTAGGTTAACAATTTCAGGATTTTTGACTACGTGCGGTTCGCTCCCCGCGGCGGACTCTTGCAAAAACAAAGCCTATGTGGTTTTTGGACTATGGTACGAGAGTCGCGTCTTGGATGAGATCTGGTATCCCCACCAGGTGATGTGCCTAAGATAAAAGTGGTACACTCTAGCCAACCTTCATTCTGGAGAGGGCACTATGTACTTGATTTTTAATTCACCCTAAACAAAGGAAACCGCGGAATGCGCGAGAAACGGCAATATTTTAGGGTGTTGGGGTTAGGGTTAGAGTTATGGTTAAGAGTTATGGTTCTGGGTAAGATCATTCGCTGTATAGGGAGATCGGAACTGACAAATATCCTAGCCATAACCTTAACGGTAACTCATAATACTCCTAGAACATTGGACTTTCCAGGATTTCCTTTGTTTTGGGTTAATTTTAAAAAAAGTACCCAGCAGAGAATGTGTTTATATTGTTTTACGTAAAATGTGGAGTTATCTTTTTTTTTAAACAGATCCAAATGAAAGAATCATCTTTAGAAATAAAGCATAAATGTATTCATGACTGCAGCTCTCTTTGAAATTATTTCGACAAAGGTGCAATCATCATCAGCATAGCAGGTCATTTACAGAACGTTGCTCCCGTCACAGCCCACCAGATCTCCTGCATCATGTACTTTTATACGGGGTGATATCTTTGCTATGAAGAAGGAACTAAGACATTATTAAACTATATAAACATATATGTAAGTCGTGGACTATCTCCCAGTCCTTGAGAAAGAGAATAAGGGCTTTTGAGCTGAAACGTTGTAGAAAGATTCTCAGAATGTCTTGGACAAAGAAGATGAGAAATATTGACATCTTAAAAGATCTGAACATCAAGAAAGATTGGCTAATAAACAGCATCCCTTCTCGAAAGCTGAAATATTTTGGTCATATCAAGCGCCACAACGGATTGGAAAAAACTATAGCAGAAGGCATGGTACCAGGAAGGAGGGGCAGGGGCCGACCAACACGAAGATGGGCACTGGATATAGGTGACTCCTTGAATGTGAAAATGCATGAGGCGGGAGAGCTGGCGAGAGACCGAGTTTCTTTCAGGCAGACTGTGATGAGAGCGACGTTCTGCAAAGGACCTGCTACATGATGATGATGATGATGATATAAATATATTATTATCAGCAAGCAGGTTCTTTACGAAACATCGCCCTTGTCACGACACGCTTACAAGTTTCTCTTTCTCTAGGCAAGTCTCCAGCCCTATGTGCTTTCATACAGGAACATGTATACGGTAAACACACAAATAAACAATTATTTTGCAATACGCACGTATTCTATAAAACGAGGCCAGTAAAATTTAGATCATAAAACTAATGCCCAAAAAAAATTACAAAATAAAAATTGACACCATAAAAAAAGATGCCATAAAATAGAACAGTGAAGTAAAGATCCCTTTTAACGCCTTTATGCGCATCGGGCATATGGGAAGAGCATATGGTAACTTTTTGGTCCGCCTGTTGAGGACACGGTCGCCGGTGAGAAAGTGTTTGGGTCACTGCATCAACCCTACGAGAGTTCTCACGCCAAGCAGTTTTAAGCTATGAATATGGCGCACACAAACACGTATTTTTTATCACCTAACTTAGAACTTGGAGTGAGCGGGATTTTATAGGCACCCAGTAAAGGAAGGTTCATTTCTTCACAGAGCCGTTGAGTGTGAATATTGCTTCATCACTCATTATGAGGCACTTTGCAAGGTCAACGTTCGTCTGAAACAGCAGCGCCATCTGTTTGGCAACAGTGTGTGTGAGTGTGTGTGTGTGTGTGTGTGTGTGCGCGCGCGCAGCAGTAAACTCCTAGAGGATTTGTAGTTTATGGCGGTTAAAATGCAAATCATCGTGTACATTTTGTCGCTCAAGTTTGTCCGATAATTTCAAGAGATTATAATGCTCCCGCACTTCTTCTTCTTCTTCTTCGCGTTCACCAGCTGTAAACTCTGGTGGGAGGTTTTGGTTGCTCATCCACTACTGAACTGCAGTCCTGCTCCAGAACCTGAGTGTTGCGTGTGCATCAGTTTTACATATCTCATTCTCTTGAATACAGACTGTTGGTTCCTTGCCTCTCCGGCAGATGCTCTCCGACTTCAAAGGAAGCTCCCCAATAAGTCGACTCTTACGACATGCTTTTGGGAGGCAGTGTGTCTATTCTTGTTTTCCCCACAATAGGGCCCCGGAACCCACACGGGAGAGGGGGGGGGGGTAGGCTCCCGCACTGATCCATGCGGTTGTCTCTAAAAAGTGTTCTCACAGGCTCAATATTTTTTAGCTGACCGGACGGTGCTTAGACTGGCACAGGCTTTAGCGTTACAGTGACCACTGGGGGAAGCCAGATTTCTTAAGTATGTTGTGACCAAAAGTTAGTAGTCAAAGCGCTCACTATGCAATGGGAGCTAATCAGTTCGTAAATATATTCCAACACCCCGTTTTGCTTGGGATTGAAAGAGTTAAATAGGTATGGACGTAAACCAGCCAGCAGAATACGTATAATTTACCGGACCTAGTTACAATCAAACACTACTGTTTTAGCGAAGAGGCAACAGTATATATTTAACACTTGAGAAGATGAATATCCACGTACTTTGGCAGCTGTTTTTACTGGAGTCTGTTTATGTCAGCAACATGGCCCAGGATGTGGAGGTCGCCAGACAGACTGTGGTGGTAGATTTAGGAACCAACCAGCAGTTGAAGGGACTCAATGTCAGCTTGCCATCTGGTGTCAAAGTGTACACGTTTTATGGGATACCTCATGCACTTCCACAATTAGGTTAGAGATGTTTTGTCTGTCTACATGTTTGTTCGTCTGTCTGTTTGCACGTCTGTCAGTCTTTCTACCTTAGTGTCTTCTTCTTCTTCCTTCTCCTCTTCTTCTTCTTCTTCTTCTTCTTCTTCTTCTTCTTCTTCTTCTTCTTCTTCTTCTTCTTCTTCTTCTTCTTCTTCTTCTTCTTCTTCTTCTTCTTCTTCTTCTTCTTCTTCTTCTTCTTCATATTACATGATGTTTGTTGTGGTCTGTGACATGTGAGTCTGATTGGTAATTTTCCTCAATCATTATAGCTGCTGTGTTCTTTCGTGTAGTTCCTGTATCTTTGTGGTCCAGAAATGTTTGTAATTTGAACTTCTTTCTCGAAGGATTGATATTCTATTTAGTGTCTTTGTGATTTAACCCAATATTATCTGTTGTGAATTGTTCCGCTTGCTTGTTTTCTGTTATGTTCCTGTACAGCTTCCGGTCTGCTTTCTGCGATATTTTCTGTGCTCTCTGGCGGGTTTGTTTTTCAATAGTGTGATAATAAAGGGTTTATGATCTGTCAATGGGTTTATGATCTGTCAATGGGTTTGTGATCTGTCAAAAGGTTTGCGATCAGTCACTGGGTTTGTTATCTGTCAACGGGTTTGTTATCTGTCAATGGGTTTGTGATCTGTCAATGGGTTTGTGATCTGTCAATGGGTTTATGATCTGTCAATGGGTTTGTGATCTGTCAATGGGTTTATGATCTGTCAATGGGTTTGTGATCTGTCAATGGGTTTATGATCTGTCAATGGGTCTGTGATCTGTCAAAGGGTTTGTGATCTGTCAATGGGTTTGTGATCTGTCAAAGGGTTTGTGATCTGTCAATGGGTTTATGATCTGTCATGGGTTTGTGATCTGTCACTCGGTTTATGATCTCTCAATGTGTTTGTGATCTGTCAATGGGTTTGTGATCTGTCAATGGGTTTGTGATCTCTCAGTGGGTTTGTGATCTCTCAATGGGTTTGTGATCTGTCAATGGGTTTGTGATCTGTGAATGGGTTTGTGATCTGTCAATGGGTTTGTGATCTGTCAACGGGTTTGTGATCTATCAACGGGTTTGTGATCTGTGAATGGGTTTGTGATCTGTCAATGGGTTTGTGATCTGTCAACGGGTTTGTGATCTGTCAAAGGGTTTGTGATCTGTCAATGGGTTTGTGATCTCTCAATGGGTTTGTGATCTCTCAATGGGTTTGTGATCTCTCAATGGGTTTGTGATCTCTCAATGGGTTTGTGATCTCTCAATGGGTTTGTGATCTCTAAATGGGTTTGTGATCTCTCAATGGGTTTGTGATCTCTCAATGGGTTTGTGATCTCTCAATGGGTTTGTGATCTCTCAATGGGTTTGTGATCTCTCAATGGGTTTGTGATCTCTCAATGGGTTTGTGATCTCTCAATGGGTTTGTGATCTCTAAATGGGTTTGTGATCTCTCAATGGGTTTGTGATCTCTCAATGGGTTTATGATCTCTCAATGGGTTTGTGATCTCTCAATGGGTTTGCGATCTCTCAATGGGTTTGTGATCTCTCAATGGGTTTGTGATCTCTCAATGGGTTTGTGATCTCTCAAAGGGTTTGTGATCTCTCAATGGGTTTGTGATCTCTCAATGGGTTTGTGATCTCTCAATGGGTTTGTGATCTCTCAATGGGTTTGTGATCTCTCAATGGGTTTGTGATCTCTAAATGGGTTTGTGATCTCTCAATGGGTTTGTGATCTCTCAATGGGTTTATGATCTCTCAATGGGTTTGTGATCTCTCAATGGGTTTGCGATCTCTCAATGGGTTTGTGATCTCTCAATGGGTTTGTGATCTCTCAATGGGTTTGTGATCTCTCAAAGGGTTTGTGATCTCTCAATGGGTTTGTGATCTCTCAATGGGTTTGTGATCTCTCAATGGGTTTGCGATCTCTCAATGGGTTTGTGATCTCTCAATGGGTTTGTGATCTCTCAATGGGTTTGTGATCTCTCAATGGGTTTGTGATCTCTCAATGGGTTTGTGATCTCTCAA